TAATACTCTTGAATGCTTAGTTTTTCTTATCTCTTTTTTCGTCATAAAGAATTGTTGGATTTCAACTGCAAATAAAAAATCATAAACTGGATAAAAGTATAAGACACGAGCTTGTCCTAAAATTTGAGACTTTGTCAATGAAATCCAGAGTCCAGAGACGTATTGCAATCAACCAAGAGTGCTATGTTCTGTTATAAAAATAGTTACAACGCAAATAACCTTCTCAACTTTACCTGATTGGCAATAGCATGTGTATTTTGCAGAAAAAGCGAAATTGAGCAATCGTGATTATATTACCACGAGTAAAAGTAGTGATAAATAAAAATTAAAAAATTAAAAATAAAAAAAAAAAGTATCACTCATTGCGAGAATTATTCAGATTAATCTCAATCATTAATGCAGACATTAGACAAATATAACACATGCAGTTTCAAGCCAAGCTATAATTTATATATAAGCAATATATCAAACTTCATTTGGCAACTACGATACGCAAAAATTTATGTCAATGAAGCAATGACTAAAATTATCATAATGTATCTAAGAAATTGCTTTCTACATGTATTCTACATTTTGCCTCACAAATACCGAGATAAATAGTATGTATACATATCACAGTCACACTATTGGTGTAGCCGGAGACTATATTTGGACTTCATGTCATCTATACTCGGGCAAAAGAAAAAATGAAGAAGAAATATTCCATTATAGTTATATTTTGAAATATCAAAGAATTTTCAGTTTACCCTTGGCCATAGAATCTTTAACAAGCTCCATATGGCATGAAGCTTTCTGCGCTCCAGTCAAACCAGAACAAGTGCCACTAGACCCTAAAGTGACAGCAAAGTAAAGATAAACAGTGCAAAGAATAGCTAGCAGAACAAGTGCAGATAAGAGGAAGCGATGCCTCTGGACAAGTGTGGACCAACTACCCAGTTCATCCTTTGCAAACTGCCTCCTGAGAGATGGAGACCTCAGACGAGGAGAAGACAGAATGGAGTCAAGAACCATGACTTCAATATCAACCTTTTTCAAACCCCTGAAGCTGTCCATCATGCAAAAACACCAGTAAAGTTGTGATTCTATGCAAATGCTATGCAAGGCTTAAATTATGACATATCCATATTGCAAATGCAGCCCCATCCTTCCTAGTATTAGTGGTTAGTAGGTGACTAGGACTGGTGAAAAACACTTGAAATCATGGTCAGATAGATATCACTTCAGAATCTACAGGAAAAGTCTTGTCTTTTTTTAATTTCCCACGACCGCATTTGCGGGCATGACATAATGGTTTTTGGACATCCTACAACTCTCACCTAATGGATTAATTTTTTAGGTTGAGCTCTCATTGTGTGCTTAAATTCTAACAATTAATGCTTACATTGAGAGTTGAGTTATTGAAAGACCTAGCTATAGGCTAAATTAAGGTGTAATACCAAATACTAAAGTAAAGTCGTCAAAAAGGAAAGGATTACTATCATATTGTTTTCGATTGAGTGAAAGTTGTTGTAAACATCAACAATTAAAGGAGGTGACGATGTTACGATGAGTAGAATAAAAAACTTGATGTGTAACTTAAGTTTCGAGACTCTCTCTCACCTAATGGACTACTCTTTTGGGTAGATTTCTCTTGGTATGTTTAACTCCTAACAATGACAGCAATTGCAGTCACATCAACAATTTCAGGCAACATCACGATTCTTAACTGCAATCGCAATTTAAAACCTTGAAAACCCTCAACAACATACTAAGAGGCACATTCAAGATTTCACTCTGACCACAGAGGAAATCAGAAGAGACAACAACAGCTCTTCACAAAGACAGCAAAATTCCCAAATCAACAAGATCGGGCCTTTTACTTATATTTCAGCAAGCAATGCCACTTCATAACTAAAAAGAATTGTAGATCCTTCACTTGTCAGACAAAATAAGAGAATAAAAAAAGAATGAGCTTCTGCAAGAACAAGAAGGTTGTCGAAATCTCAAAATATTATACACGTGCAAGAATCACATACTTAGCCGCTAAACTGATTCCCCAATTGATCCAATCTTATGAAAAATGAAGCAGATTGAAAAGAAAAAAAAAAAAAAAAAAAAAAAAAAAAAAAAAAAAAAAAAAAAAGAGTAATATGCGTAGCGAGAGTGTGTGAATCGGATTTGGTTTGAGTGTATTGAATCGCGAAGCAAATGACGCATAATCCCACAAGAAGAGTAAGAAGAAATTGAAAAGACGAAAGGATGGCGAGATCTAAGGATGCAAAAGAAAGAGACATAACAAGACATACCCTTCTCTCCTTGGCCTTGGATTCGCGCAAACAAAGATGAGAAGACACACTTGCCACACAAAATGCTTTCCTTATAAACTTGGCCCAATACGCGTTTACAACTCACGCTACGCCTTACTACTAATATTTTTCTTTTTTGTCCTTTTTTTTTCTTTAATAATCTTAGGACGCTGTTAAGTTAGGCTCGATCTCAATTCAAATTAGCATAAAGTTTCAAATGTGAAGGTCCAGTTGGCCGTTTATTTTGTTGGAAGACATTGATGCATGTATTAATTTGGGGCATGGTTACAATGTCATCGTCAAGAAACACAAAGATACTCTCAGAGGTCCGTCTCATTTAATGAATCAATGGGCTTGCCTTGCCTCTGCTGAGCCCACTCATCCGCTCCCCTCTTTAGCCCATTTTGCTCTAATTGGACCCCACACTCACCTCTACAATGCCCCAAAATAATTAAAACTAACTACACGTTCTTATTGCTTCCTAAAATAATAAAGGTACGCCTTTGGTTCAGAATTTGGCATCAATAATGATCCATAGGTGTACATTTTTTTCTCTCTAAACTCTATACATTTTATTATTACTTTTTTTTTTCTTCTATATCTCTTTCGGTCACAACTTATAATGTATTTTTTCTCTATTTATACCAGAGCTATTCACCAATATTTTATCTTTGGGATAAAATAACTATTCATAAATTTCATTCAACACTTACGATGTATTTGATAAAGAGAAAATAAAAATTAAAGAGAAAAGTAGATAGAAAATAGAATAGAAATTAAAAGAATTTAGTAAGAGAAGAGTAAAAGAAAAATAAAGAAGTTAATTTTTGGAAAGCATATTTTTTATTCTTTTATTCATTTATTATTATTTTATATATTTATATATATTATATATAATATTTACATAATAAATTGTGTTATGTATATTTGTTATATATAATCGATGAACAAACAAGAATCAGTCACGTTTCTTTGCACAGTAATTTTTGCACTAATTCAACCTTTTTAGCTATTTTTTTATTTTAATTATGAGTCCAATTGAAAGTCTACATTTTTCCACGCTACTTTTGCATGAACAATGGGCACTCTTTATTCAAGTTCCAAACGAGGGCTTAACATTTATCTTCATCTCTATTTTCTTATCACATCATATTAAACACTGTCATATTTATCTCTCTATTTTCTCTTATTAAGTTACTTTCATAGTAAAGGTATCAAACCATTTTTTTTTCTTTTGAGATAGAGTGATAAGTAATGGACTTCTCTTGACTCTAAACATCTCTCATTTATTTATATTTCTTAAATGATCGATGAATAATTCTTCACTTAAACACCAATAATTTTTCTCTATTTCTCTTTTTTTAATCACATAATATCATAAATCATATATACATACATTTCTCCTTTTTTCTCTCGCTTGGTGTCACGTTAGGATAAGTATAAATTGAAAATTTGAAAGTAAATAATGTAAAAGATAAATAAAAAATAAAAAATCCATGAGATCCATTTTGCAGAAGGGAGGCAAAATTAGAGGATTTGCACTATCCAGTTGATTCAATCTCATGCAAGCAAATTTATGCTTCTGATGAAAGAATGATATGTAAACACTTGAAAGCATCCAAAACCAAACAATATTCAGTTTTTGAAATACACTCGTAAATACAACATAAACATTAACACCTATCATTAACATGGTAGGCATCAAACAAACATATCATTTTCTAAACAAGATTAACCGTAATATCAATGAATATATGTTATTGTTTCTAGCCTGCAACGGCTAAAAATACTGTTAATCCAACTGGCTAGAATGTTATACAGATTTTGAATGGTGCTTTATAAATGCATCACGAGCAAATAAAATATATGGAATCTCTAAAATATTTGAGAAGAATCACTACTTTAACACGTGAACCTTGGTGCTAAAAGCTACTTATCCTGAAACTCGAGTTGAACCTTCTAGTCTTAGCTGTTTGTTGCTTGAAAATTACCACAAAGCAAGGAAGCAAGGCTTTGGGATTTAACACATAGAGTTCTTCAACATCTGAATAACCACTTGTTTTTTCTGCCAATGAATCAAACTCTGAATCAACCTTTTCTTCAATTTCTTCAATAGGACTATAAATTCTCCCAGCTATTACTCTGCATACTATGACAGATTTTCTTGGAAAGGGTCTCTCATGTGATGTCATAATGGAAATGGAATCAAAGGCTTTCCCACTTGTGGAAGCGGTGTAAACCCCCAATGCACCTCGGAATTCCTTGTTGGTGGAAAAACCATGTCTCAGAATTTGACATATACCACAGTAGTCTAAAGTGCATAGACTATAAGAACTGTTTTTGCCAAGAGAGCATGCAATAGTTGTGCCATGGAACCTTAAAAGTTCATTTCCATCAACCACACAACGAGGGTGTTTCCTTTGTAGCTTATCAGCCTTATCTTTCACCATTTCTCTATATTCCTCAAAGCAAGCAAAGGTTTTTGGTATGTTCAGAACCTTTAAGATGCAATCAATCTTCCCCAACATGTTTTCAGAATTAACGGAGTTTGTTCCACATATTGTTTCTATAATCTGTCTAGATGAATCTTCTTCAAGTTCAGTGACTGCAAAACAGTATATAGTTGACAAACTATGTTCATAGAAGTATTTCTTTCCATACATTTCCACTACATAAAAAAGTAAGCACAAAAAGTTCTTATCTTTGTTCCCTTCAAACTATAGATGAAAGACATTTATCTGTAGTTTACATAAATCACATGCACATGGACTTAATTCAATTACAACACAAAAACAAGTAGTTGAGTGATGTTTGGTGTATGTGCTAAAAGTTACATAAATTCCTGTTAAGTATCTCACATTAGTTGCAGCCATTGGCTAATACTTGGGAAACTATATTCAGTTAATTGAGATGAACACTTCTAGCACCTCTTTCCTTCCATTCTTTTCTTTATTCTCAAGTATATTAAATCCCTCCCCCAAAAGGTTTTTCACTTTTGAGGGAAAGCAAGAATAAATTCATTGATCAATTTATTTAGAAAAGACAAGGCAAAGTTATGGCAACTAACTGAATCATAAGATGAAGAAAATAAAAGCACATGCAAGACTTAGAAAGCAGAAGCACCTTAAACTCTGACATTTCAATTCTCCTTGGAAATATGAATCTGTTATTACCTGAATGCTCGGAGATATGGTGTGCTTCTACAGCATCAAGATTTTTTAATTTCTCTCCACATTTATGACATGTCAATGTTGAAAAGCCATCAGAGTCCATCTGAACCAACATCCTTGTGTTGGAGGAAACACTTGCTTCATTGTAATCAAGAGACTTGGTTATCTTTGAAGATGTAGCTAACCTTCCTGTTCTATGAGAACCCTCCGAACCTTTACTATCGCTACTGCTTTGTGGACAAGGACAACATCGACAAATTTTACTGTTTGACCTATCAAGAACAATTTCATGTGTAATGGGATGAGTGATGTCAATGTCCCCTTTGAAACTTGGTTGATTTTTTAAGTGTCTTTTGCTTCCTTGGATGAAATCTTTGGTGTTTGAACTCTCAAGATTACCTGACTTTGTTCTCTGATTACCCTTTTGCAACCTAATTGTCTTTGGATCGTGAACTTGATTTGGGTGTGGTTTGCATTGAAGTGTCTTCTTGAGAGAAAGCCAAACCTCAAGCATTTTGTGTCTCTCTTTTCCTTATGCTCTTAAAGGAACAACCTTCAAAAGGCTTTTAGACAAGAAATGTACAGAATATTTCCACGTACCAATAACCATTCCAATTCCAAAAGAAAGAAAAGAAAACAATCAAGGAATCTAGTGTTTTTTCCCCCCTCAACTACGCAGTTCCTTCATATGCAAGCTGTTTTTCCTTTTTAGTGGAACATTCACAAAGAGAAATTCCGTGTACTGGTTTCTTTGAGTTGCCATAAACTTGATAATTTGATTTTGATTTTTGAAACCTTATATAATGATTTGAGAATCTCAATCTATATTTTCATGATTCAAGCAATCTCCAAGAAATTTTATAATTTATATCATTTAAGGTTATCTGATCTTTGAACAATCAACCAATGAGGAAACACTAGCAGGCCAGGGACCACAATCTTCCAATTAATCCAAATAATATATTATTCCGTTAGATTGAAATTGAATTAATCAACTAGCAAATGTAAGCAGGTGACAACATCATATAATAAAATAATCAAATAAACAACTTTTTATGGTGTTTTCACAACTTTGAGAAATTTATTAAGAATTTTATCTCAAAAGTCAGTAGTCTGTACACAAGCTTCAAGCAAACAGTTTGAATTTTTCGGATCAATTCCTTAATTAATTAACTATTTGTGTAACAATGATTAGAATTATTCCCCCTTCTCGATGATTGGAAAGAAAGGCTTAATTTATTCTTTTGGGTCATGAAAAAATAATAAATTTTTATAGGAACTACATCCCTTGGCGATGTCCACATTCTAGACTGTCTTCAGTTTCAACAGGATTCAATGATTTGTAGCTCTGAATATCCAAAGTAGGATGATTGCTGATAGAGTCTATCTATTACATTGAAATCGCTCCAAAAGCCGTTACCCAACCAAACAGGCTACCTTTTAGTATTTATTCAAATATTCATCTATTTGATTGTGCAATTTTTCCAAATTGACAACAAAGCCTATTTGTGAATTTAGATATTTCATTTCTCTGGAATAGTGAACGTTGTCAGTTTATTTAAATTTTACGTTTTAATAATTAAATAAACCTTCATTTTAATTAAAAGTTATAATTTCTTAGATAAATTTTATAACAATTTGTCATGGTCGTTACACTTAACATATTACTTATTGGCAACGAAAAACATACAAGTTTTTACCTAAGTTAACGTACACAAAATTCTTGAACGTATAAGTGATAATATATATATATATGTGTGTGTGCGCGCGCGCAAAGGTTTTACATCAACAATCAAAATATCATATAAGACTAATCCAAAAATTATAATGTATAAATCTAAGTTGTTGGCCTATCAACAACTACTAATTATCGGCCTAACTATATCAGATAGTCTAAAGATCAATATCGCTATCATTATCCTAGCCTCAGAAAACTCTATCTGTCATCTATCTTTATCCTACTCCCATATAAATATAATTATTGTAGTCCAACCACTAAAAAACATGTAAGGTGTGATATAACTTATAAATAAATAAAAAATTAAGTTTTTTTTTGTACAATAGTTATGCATTAGAATCTATATCTTTGTTCATATTATTTCACCTCACTATTAAATCAATCTTAATAATTTTGTATTTAAGAGTTTAATTTTTATACTTATGTATATGAAAAAAAAAATTTATTAAGAGAAGATAATCCTAAAAAGGTATTTAGTACAATGATTTTTTTTACTTTTATGACAAATTGAAGCTAGGAAAGCTAATTTTCCTTATTTAATTTACTAATTAAAAATAATATTCATAAAAGACATTGATAATATTTTTCACGAAAATGTTCTCATAGGATAGATGAGAATCTAATATTTTCATATTAAATAAAAAAGTTTTATTTTACTAAAATATCATGTTATATTTATTTTCTTATTTAATGTATTAAAATTATTAATTCTCAAATAATATATATACATATTTTTATAAATATTTATGACTAACCAAATACAATTTAATCATTTATAAGAATAATAATTCTCTAAATTTATAATTTTTAGATAAAAAAAATATTCTACCAAAGTGTCTCCTTAAATGAAAGTAACATTTTCTCTTAAGTATTTTTTTTTTTTTTTTTTTTTTTTAAG